GTTGCAGGTATTTTTCGATGTCTCGCGGTCGTTCTCCGCTCCTTCGGCGTGGGGCGTCCGGCGCGAACCCGCGAAGCCCGATCTGCCGGTAGGGGCATCGCCGGTACACATGGTCAGCTTGACCGCAGTGGTAGCAGAGCGGTCGCCTGTCGACCGTCCGCCACACGTCGGTCTTCCTTGCCACAGCTTGTTCTGGGCGGACGTGCGCCCTAACATTCTGGTGTTGGGGATTCTGCGGCACTGGAGGTTCACGGGGGGGGGGGAGGCGCTGTGTACGGACGCGGGGCTGGTGGTGCTCGTCGGACCATTTCGGCGTAGCTTAGGGCTGGCTCCTTCTGCGCTGCTGCGGTAACGGCAACCTCGGGATGGAAGACTCGGTGAACTTCCTCTCGGACGACCTCGGGGACTGAGAGGGAGGCTGGGCGATCTGCAGCAGGTAGGATCTTGCGGAGCTCTTCCCGGACGATATCCCGGACAATCTCCCGAAGGTTGTCGACACCGGTGGTGCTCAAGTCCAGACGGGTAGCTGCGACGGTTAGAGCAGTAGGCGCGCCGGCGAGTCAGTGGTAGTGGCTGGCTCGGGACGTCAGTGCACGCTCGGTATTGCTGGCTTCAGTTACAAAACCTTCGACAGTCGTTGGGGGATTGCGTACTAGGCCTCTTAACGTGAGGCATGAGGACGCGAAGTTTCTTTTCCTCGGCGGCCTCCGGATTGGCTCGGGCGCTTAGCCGCAGAACATCTTCAACAAAGCTTGTCATGCTTTCGTTAGGGCCCTGCACCCTTGATTGAAGAAGATCCTCTGCTCGCTGCCGACGGTGGTGGTTGATAAACGTCCTCTTCGATTCGGCGACGCATGACTTCCCCGAAATAAAGGAGGCTTCGTGCTTCTCAAACCAGTACCTCGAGGTGCCCTCAAGCGAGAAGTAGGGGTTCTCGAGGCACTGCACGGCCGTCCATCCGGTGTGGCGAGGTGCACATACGTAATGCTGCAGCCAATCTTCGACGTTCTCGTGGGCTTCACCGTGAAAGGACGTCGGAGAGCGGGGAGTGACGGGCAGGATGACGACGGGTGCAGTGGTCATGGTCGGTATTTTCTTCCTCCGGTTCTCGGGCAAGAGACCCGATTCGAGGCACTGACCTCTGGTCCGATGGCTTCTTTGGGGTTCGGAGTCTTCGGCGAAGGGTAGCCTTCCGGAGCTGAGCACCTCACTCGGGCGGCGTAGGGAGCCTTCATGTGTACTTTGCTATAGCACAAGTTGCATTACAAAGAATGGCATCACCCTATAGGGTGATGCCATTTTTTGTAATACCACTCGCCGACAGACCAGCAGCCATCTTAGTTCTCGGCGATGATCCGTGGGGCTGATAACCCTCCCTGAAACAAGCACCTGATTTCACAAGTTCGGAGCAACGTCACAACCGTTGTGGAACCCACAGAGGCAGGATTTGCGTTTTTCCCCTTGAATGGAACGACCGATGGACACAAAGGCCACTTTCCAGCGCACGGCAAAACAATGGAGAACCAAAACAGCGGTGGGAGAGCCTGAGAGGGACCGGAAAAGGGAAACGGGCAGTTGACATCTTCCTATGCGAAGCGCACATGAAGGCGCCCTAGATCGGGGTATCTTCGTACGGGTACGCTTTACGGGCATAGGATGGTAACCGCACCCCCACCAAAATGTCATGACTGACAGGTGATGAGGCAACGAAAAATGAAGTAAACTAAACGTTCGATGGGGCGAACTTGAGGCCAAAACGAAAAGGGAACCGAAGAAAACAGCAGAGCGTCGTGGGCGTCGATGTCGGCGAAACCGCAGGATCGAGCGCTGGGGCGAGATTGACTGCGGCTCGCCACGCGGAGCCCCGTATGTACACGCGTGGGGTTCTTGAATAATCGGCGTAAAAGGTTCTGCGTCTAGAACATTCTCACCTCGAACAAGCAACACGGTTCTTGAATCTACCATAACATTACGTCAGAGCCCACAAAAATGCGTCCGCGCGGCCAGGAATCGAACCGTGGCTTTCTGCGTGGAAGGCACGAGTGATAACCGTTAGGCGCTGCCTGCTTGGTCAGCTGCGCTCGCGGCAATATGCGCGATAACCGTTAGGCCACGAGCGCGCTGCCTGCTTGGTCAGCTGCGGTCCCGGCAATATGTGCACAAATTTAGCCATAGTCTGAAGAAAGTAGGCGAAAAACATGGAGTACCGGTACTACTCTCAACGCCTCCGAAATTGGGTAAACTCTGTGCAAGACTAAAAAGGGGAGATTCGAGGGTGGGTATATGTAAGAAGAAGCATGGAACTAAATACGTGAAGCGCAAGGAAGGGGTGGTGTATAGAATACCTTTAACGTGTGGGGGGGTTTACATAGGGCGAACCTGAAGGTGCATCAACGACAGACTAAGGGAACACGCACTCGCAGTAAGATCTTCGCCCTCCAATAATCTTGCGATACACTGAAACCGACACGATTCTGGCACGAAGCTTCAGGAAACTTATCCTGAACAGGAATCGTAACCGTGACTAGGGAAATTTCAGGCGCATTTTTTATAAGGAAGTGCGACGGCGACACGTGCATCGGCGCACCATTGATAGCAGGGTCATTCCATGTCAAACGAAACAAGGTGTGCGCTCGACAATCTCGGATTAAATCGAAAAAAATTTTAGCTTTTACTTGTAACCTGAATAGGTCACTTGCTCAAGTAGTTTTGGGAAAAAAATTTTTTTGCCGACATGAGCGCAACTTTATTTTGGCAGTTGTGTGTAAAAATGAGTAGTACAAGAAAAATCATAAAAAATCGAGATCTTCTTAGATTTTCACAGTTTTTCGTTTGTTTGATTCTAGAATGGTTGGGCAATATTATTTAGTTACTTTGGTTATGTATTTAAATGTTTTTGTTTTCGGTATCATTTGCATAAAAGGCCCAAAAATTGAATGATTTGCGATTTTTCGTAAAAAAGAGTAACATGATTTTGACCATTCTAGAATTATTTATGCACGGTCGGCGAGCTGTACTTCCGAAATAAAAAAGTTTGAATGACAAAACATTTTGCAGTGTGCCAATAAAAAATATCAAATTTATGCAAAACGTGCTTTTAGCTCATGTTCGGCCATCAATGGCACCTTGAAGCGGTCCAAGGAAAAATACACGGTATATCTCATATAATAGAACGCTTTATTTAAATTCAATTCTGATAATTTAACAATGCACATTTTGTCGGTGTTTTCGGCAGAAAGGAGTACCGGCTGCCTAATACGTGTGATAACAGCGCACCGGAACTTGTGACCGGCCAATCATGCGATGCTGCCTTAACGAGGTGCCGTAAACAGGGAGATGCCGCGATCTATGCTGCACACTTCTTCGGGTGCTGCCAAACTGTGTAAACTAACGGCAATTTGGAGAGGTAATTCTGCCGTTTACCACGAGCGAAAGCGGCTTTCTTTGCATACGCGGTTGTTATCGTTCAAGTCGTTTAAGACCAATCGCAAGTTTTATTACAACAATACATGCTTATTACTCGAAGTCTACAACCCATACTTTATTAAACAGACAGAAGAGTTATTGACTGGTAAAAGAAAGAATAAAACAAACTCGGGACGAAGGACGACGGACATTTATTTCAACTAGCAACATGAATGAGCTTAAAAGCACTCTTTGCAGTTCAGGACCGTCATGGAAAAAGGAAAGAAAGCGTGTGTAATGTGCAAGTGCTACAAGGATCCGTCCACGAGTTCTACTCTTGCACCATCTGAGGGACCTGACGACTGCTTGGAACAAATTGATCTAGGAAACCCAGCAGATGAAATAATCATAACGCCTGAAGCTGTTAATGAGGCCGTTGCAGTGATTGGAGAGAGCTCTCTCAGAAAGAAACTCGGGAGAAAAAGCCGGGAACCGTACGCGAGGAAAAAAGTGAGAAAGGTTCAGAAGAGCGTTGAACAAACTGTCTACTCGTCTCTTGGGATATCTCATCCTGGAACATCGCGATCAGACGAAGAGGAAGATTTTGAGCTGATTTTTCTTGTACTCCTCATTTTTACACACAACTGCCAAAAATAAGTTGCGCTCATGTCGGCACAAAAAAATTTTTTTGCCAAAAATGCTTGGGCAAGTGACTATTCAGGTTACAAGTAAAAGCTAAGATTTTTTTCGATTTAATCTGAGATTGTTGACCTTGTTACGTTTGAGATGAAATGACCCAGCACTGTACGATTCGGAGTTTGCGCATCTTCAGTCCTTTGTTAGCTCAAGCTAGAAAGATTATATGTAGATTATTGAACAATGTGTGAACATGGCGTGGTTGGTTGTTGACAAGGCATATATGTTTCTTCCCTGGTTTAAATCAGATTAAACCTCAGTTGCAAGTGCGCTCTACTGTATGTGCGTCTTGTTTTACTGGTCCTCGTTTTTAGCGCTTTTAATCTTCAAATGTACCACCAACTATCCGAAGTGAATAGCCTTTTAACGTGGCCTGTCACAAAACATGACTTCAGTTTTACCGCTAGATCTAGCAAGAAAATTGACCTCACATGACTTTAACACCAATTAAGTTTTCCCACGAAATTTGGCGCGAAAAATGGCGGCAAAGAACTTCATGTCGCGAGACAAACACAAAAATATAGTTTTCTCGCTAGATTTAGCGGGAAAATTGACGCCACGTGACTTCAACGCCAATTCCGCTTTCCCGCTCCCGCTGAATTTAGTTTAGAAAATGATGTCACGCGACTGTATCACATGACCTATACGCAAGTTAAGTTTCTCTGTAAATATAGTTGTGAGACTGACGAGAAAAATCCAATGGGGTGGTGTCAATTGAGTGGAGAGGAGTGGGGACACTTGCTGGAGGCACAGCTCGTCATGGAAATGGCTGGAGGTTACTAGAGCTAAACCAAGAACGTTTCAAGTGGCAACACAATCACAGTTCGCGTTGCCCTACAATGTTTTTTTTGTTTGTTTTTTCTGATCAGTTGCATGTTTTTTTTTTACACTACTCGCAGGACCGTGCTCATAAGCACCCTCCTCCTGGTGACCACCGGCTTCTTCTTGGCCTCAGTGGCAATGGCGCTGGTCTTCTGGTACCGAGACTGCGACCCCTTGCTTTCCGGGGCCATACGCAAGATCGAACAGGTGTGCCCTACTTGGCTTCAGTGTTGTACACGTTCCTCAAAAAGAGGAATCTCGTTCCTCGTTCTTTTTGATTTTTCGAACGCGTTCCCGTTACAAGTTCCATCTGCGTGAAAGAAACTCGTCCCGTTGCAATTTAAAAAAAAATGGAACGTATTGTTACATATACGTCACATTTGTATTTTGCTAATTACCATATTTAATAACATGAAACGAAGTTTTCTATCTATCCTATCAAATGGCAACATACGAATTTGAATGCCGTGATGGAAGGACACCAGGAGCAAATGAACAAGCGAAAGCAAGGTTCCACTTGTTGATATATTAACTTTTAGAAATCTCAGCGCTTTGCCATATACATGTTTGAGGTGGGCTATGCAGAGGAGCCAAGTGTATACTGTTACCCCACATTGTACGAGCGTTTTATAACAACGTCACCTGCTTCAATTTAACAAAGTTCCTTCTTCGAACTTAACAACAGTTGCTTCTGGATGTTGCTGCCCGCGGTATGAGCAAGTCAAAAAGAGGGTAGGACTTTTGAACTTGGTAGGTCGGTCTAGAAAACTACCAGTTCTTCTTCGTGAAGGTTAAATTCGGTGTTCAATTTGAAAGTTAAAAAAAAATTAGTTTTTTGTGTTTTTTTGTTTTCACCTGGTCAATGTTTGGGATACAAGGGTGTGTTCGATGTTTAGTCACCTGTTCTTTGGTGTAACTGTAGGTCTTTTTGTAGAAGTTCAGTGATGGTTGTAGTTGGCCTTAGATTTTATTAGTGTATGAGGATTCGTGGAAGCAAAGCAAGCAGCCGAGTTTGACACGTCTGTTTTTCTGTCTTTTCCTTCGACTAAATTTTTTTAAATTTCTGTGTTACAGTCTTGGACACTGAAAGGAGAATCAATATCCATTATTTTTCCTGCAGCCGACTGTTAGCAAGCGAGGACCCCCCAAAATAAACCCAATGTAACAAAAACGTTAAAGAACCTGCTCGTTATAAATATATTGTTTTATACTTTTTTAGAATTCACCTTTTAGAAACAAAATAAAAACTACCCCCCTCGAAGAAGAAAAAAAAACGCCGTTCCTTCTTCCGTTCCAGTGAAAATGTAACGACGTTCCAGTTCCACCGATGCAAAATGGAACGGTGGCGTTCCTTCGTTCCTCCTAAAAGGAACGCGTTCCAGGAACGTCGTTCCTGGGAACGACGTTCCGTACAACACTGCTTGCCTTTATATTCCCTGACATTCATACTGCTTTAAACAAAACACACGGAGGCGTAATAAGCAGCGAAGTCTGCTAATTGGAAACGATTTGGAGGGTATAGTTACTTGCAACTTAAAACAAGTATGGCGGGGCTTCTGACGTTACGCTTCTTGCTTTGTGATTTGCTCTCCTGCGTTTTTATCGGTCAGTGTTGCACTCTCATTGGCTCTCGAGCGATAACAGTACGATCGGGATCTTGTCACGCCTGAGTTCACCGCAACTCTCAGAGACTATGCACGACTCCAGCGAACTAGGGGAGGCGCGCTGGTACGGCAAAATGGCGGATGGCTGGAGGTCGTTTTCGTCGTTCAGCGCGCTGACCACCATAAACTTATTGCACTGCAGCGTAAAATCAATGTTACATTTGAACGCAAAGCGATTTTTCTACGCTAGAAACCTTCTTCTAGTCCTTGCGTAGGAATGACATGGCGGAAGTATAAAAATAATTACTGGAAACGATGTGTGTTTCTATGCTGCCTACGAGAACCAAGCAGCGATAGCAGACGACAGAGTCGAAACGGCCTCCTCCCTTGAGCTTCTCGGTGTTGCCGCTACGAGGTGTCGATTTCGCTGGAGTCGCCAGTAAGCGAGAAGCACCCTTTTCGAGAACCGATGAGCGTACAGCGATTTATATCCGGCAGACGTTGGCGGACCATCTCCGCAACAAATGTGTTCGATCCTTGGGCCCTCAACGATTACCCGAGTAGTCGGCCGCTGGTCTGTACGGCCTGTGTTCGGATATTGAGATAGCTCCAGCTTGTTACTATATACATTTGACGTTAAGAAGTTCCTTGTGTTGCCGAAACGCCTACTGGCAAGTTTCCGAAGACAGTAGTTCATGGGGATTGACATTCACGTTTCGTATTCTTTGGAGTGAGTTGTCCCCCAACAATACAGAAGGTTGGTTTTATGTTACGCGTACATTTACTTCATTGTGACCGGTTCGGTCCTTTGGATAGCGCAGCGTGGATAACTTTCGCGCCCTAAACATAATCAAGTTGTCCTGATGTACGCCCATCCCCTAACTTTCTTTATTAAAAAAGGAAATATTGAAGAGCACTTGCCCCGGATGTCTATACAGTTCAGTTCAGTTTATTATACCTCAAAGGCATTTCACATGAAATGCATTACATGAGGGGGGAGGAAATCACATATACAGATAGCAGAAGAGTGGCGACAAGGTAAATAATAGGAAAACGCAAAAACAACCGACTAATAGGACATATATTAAAACACAGCACGTAGAAAAAGTAATTAACAGATAAACTTGTTAAAGATCTACACTTTTCAGGTGTGCCTTGCAGAGTTCACGGAATGTCTTCGGGTTAGATTCATGTACTATGGTTTCAGGAAGGGAATTCCTGTTAGTATTAGCGAGAGAAAGTGGGGAATTTGGAAATTTATTAGTTCTTGCGAATAGAGGTTTAATTTTTAGGCTGTCGTGATGAAGCAAGGAGATGTGAGGTGGTCGGTGACAGTGGGTGTTTCGAAAATCAGAAGAGGAATTGTGAGTTTCGTGTAAAAAGACAGCACGAGCAAGTTGAGGTCTTTGAGATAGAGGGTCGAGGTTGAATTTTAGTGCAGTTACGCTTGAGGTTCGTGCGCAGTCATGTGTTATAAAACGTGATGCCTTGTTTTGCGCCAATTCGATTTAGTAATAAGATATGATTGATGAGGCCACCAAATCAAGTTGGCGTAGTCCAATTTTGATCGGAAGAGAGTCTGATGGGCAGTTAGGTTAACACTACGGGGAGTTTGGTATAGGTTACGTTTTATGTATCCTAAGGATCTGCATGCACTAGCCACTATATTGTCAATATGAGTATTCCAAGTTAGGTCTTCAGAAAATGTTACGCCTAAATATTTGTAAGTTGGTACTTTTTCGAGAGGCAGTGTTAGTAAGGTGCAGTTACGTACAATGGGAGATCGCTGACCGGTGAATGTTAAAAGTTTGCTCCTGGCTAAATTGACCGTTATCTGCCACATGTTACACCAATGAGACAGAACATTTAGATCCTGCTGTAGTAGTATTGAATCTTCAGGGTTAGTGATGCGACGGTAAATTACGCATTCATCCGCGAAAAGCCCAATAGATGATGTTATGGGATGAAGATCGTTATATATATAAGAAATAAAAGCGGACCGAAAACGCTACCCTGAGGGACGCCCGACAGTACAGGCAGTCTTGGTGAACTGGCATGCCCAACGTGAAGAGCTTGCTTACGGTTAGTTAAGAATTCAGCTGCCCAGTGTGTAATGATGGATGGATGTTAAGTTCAGAAAGTTTGTATAGAAGTCGCTGGTGAGGAACCGTGTCAAATGCCCTAGAGAAATTGATGAAGATGGCATCAGTGGGTTTAGACGAATGAAAGTTGTTATGCAAATCGGTTACGAACTCAAAAAGCTGGGTTTTGCATGAATATGCCGACCTGAAACCATGTTGGTTGTTACATATTGATTTATTTTCCGACAAATAGTTCATAATGTAGGAGAAGAGAATATTCAAAAACTTTGCATGGCACACTTGTCAGCGATATAGGTGTGTAATTCGAGTAGTCCTGCTTGTTTCCGTATCTAAAAATAGGCAAAACTCTCCCGAATCTCCAGTCCTCTGGGAGGGCAGCCGAGTGGAGAGATTGTTGAGATAGTCGACCAAAAATGTACGATATGTGCTTCGTTATTCTTGAAGTTTATGGCAAATATTGTCGTCGCCCGGGGCTGAGCTGCGGGAGAGTTTTTCGATTGCATTCAGGATACCATTTTGGTCAAAGACAATATGTTCGCAAGAAGTGTTAAGTAATCTACAGATGGGATCACAGGGTACTGCTAAGACTTCTACGCTGAACACGGACGAAACATAGATGTTAAAGAAGGTAGCTGAATCAAAGTGTGTTAATACTTCGTTAAGATCATTGCTCAGCTTAGGGAGAGAGTAATTTTTCTTTGGACATATTGTTTTCCGGAATTTCCGAGGATTGGTTAACAATAAATTTAGCAGGTCTTGCTTGAAGTATTTGTTTTTCGCGTTTTTCGTGCTATTTTTGAATTCCTTAAAAAAGTTCAAGTACTTCGACATATCAAATACACGTATGGTTTTTCTAGCTTTGGCAAAGAGACGCTTTTTTATTATTTATTTTTCTGAGTGTATTCGTAAACCAGGGTTAATCAGCATTCGTTTTTAACACAATTTGATGTACAAATCAAGGCTTCAACAGCTTAAACTCGTCTTTTAGGAATTTCCAGTTTGTCTCCACAGATCTTTCATAAAAAAGGTGTTCACATTCTGAAGCAAACTGCTCAAAAGCCTCGTTTAGGGCACATTCATTAACCTTGCTGTATCCATTGATGAGTTTTGGACTTATCTTACTAGTTACTAATGGCAGAGACATTTCAACTAAAAGCGTGTTATGATCGTTTATCTTCTCAAGACTACGAACTTACCGCACATCATTCGCACTCGAGGTGAAAACAACGTTCAAAACAGAATTTAACCGTATGGGTTCGTTTACAATTTGAGTGAGACCAAAGCTATGTATCAGGTTAATAAAATTTGAAACTTCTCCACCAACCGCACAGGAGGTAACACCAATGCGGTCCTTCCAATTTACACCTGGGTAATTCAAATCTCCGGCAAGAATAATGGTACTACTGGAAAATAAAGACAAAACGTGCTCCATACATACGTATAGTTTATCAGAGAAAGTATTGTCAAGGCCAGGAGGGCAATAACAGGCGCCAACGAAACT